GCACACCCTCCGTCACTATGTGATGGAGTGCAAAATGATATGTGAATTCAGAGACAATTCTGTAACCAATGTTCCAAAGATGTATAAATATTTCATTCTAAATGATCTGCTACCAGAAATTTTAGCCAAATATTCCCAGTTTGCTAACTGTAGGTAGTAACTAAGTGACTGTAACCTATCCACCGTTGCCATTGGATGGGGGCGGTGTGCAGGACAAACATATGAATTGTGACATTAGCTCTCCACATATGTCAGTTGCTTAATTTAGAAACTATTTGTGGTCGATCTCGGACCCATCGTTGATGTGACGACTTGTATTGAATTTTGTAACTAGCTCATCAAGATTGTAACTTGCTTAGCTAAATGAATTTTGGGGTTCAGTCCCTGAGCCCATTATGTGCCTCTGTAATCCTTTCTACTAACGTCCACAAGATGGGTATGGGGTGCATAACAAATTAACTAAAAAAAACTGATAAGCTTGAGGTAATTTGCAGTGGTTGAACCCCATGCACAGATACCGTATGTAAGATAGGAATAGATTAGTGCGTATTTTAATGGGAGGAGAGCAGTGGGGAACATAATACCTGATTTTAGAAAGTATACCGACCGAAGAAGGGGATATGTAGCATTATCAGAATTATCACTACAGAAGATTGTAGCATTTTTTGTTCCTAATTGAAAATTGACATAATTTAGGGTGGAAGTATCTACACCCTGTTCCAAAACGGCATGTACCCCTCGCCAACATGTTCCTGCATTTCCGAGGATGCAGAAAATGGCATTTTGCTCCTAATTTTCCATATTTGCATATTCCTTTAGCGTAGAATTTGCAAATGTGTTCCGGTTTTGCGTTTTTCAAGGTATTTATATCTGTGTCTGTCTTGTCTAGCTCTTTATTGGAGCCATCTCCGTTTTTCGTCCCAATTCCTTCATTTATGCACTCTGTCTCACTGTTGCTCTGATCGTTTATATTACCTGGCTCTGCAATATTGCTGTTATTTTGTACCACAATACCCTCTTCCTCCACACTACTGCTGCGGTTCTCTAAACTATCTGTTCCTGAGTTTTGGTCGTTATCCAATGTTGTCTTTTCCCAGTCCGCATATATCACTGGTAACTTGTCTGTGAATGATAATCTCCGTGACTCGGGAATGTTTTTCATCAGTTTAGTTATGTTCTCTAACATTAATCTGTCATCTTTGCAAACCCAGTAAATTCCTTGCCTTTTTGTGCATCCTGGAGATAATTCTGTACAGCCCAGGTGAAATCTTATGTTACAGATGCAACACTTGACGCCTACATTACGTTATCCCAATACTCCCGAACACTCGCCACACCTCTCCATTGTCTGATGTATTGTATTGTATTTGTGGTTCATTGTATGGATCACTTGTTGATGTCAGTCCTTTTAACTCTTTATAAAATTATATGTATATATTTATATATTTAATATTTATAATATTATATGTATACCGTATATTTGTAATATTATGTATGTTATTTTGTTCAAACTTTATGGCAGGTACTTAGCGAAGCTGGTCCCCGGTCGGTACAGGTGACCTCTTGTTGTCCCAGGTTGATGTCACCAGTTTCCAGTTACTCGATTTATAACACTGATTTATTCTTTGCTTGTATTCTTACAAGGAATTTTCCGCCTAATTTCCGGCTTGCAATGGTACTCACTCACTATTACTATTTCCTAGATTCACATTTCCATATTACACTATATATTTTCCGTATTTTATCCCTGAGGGACGTGCCCTGGGGTAGGCCTCGTGGCTTGCGTAAACACAGCCTACTGATGCCGCCTCTTGTCACTATTCTATATTTCTAGTATTCTATATTTATAATATTCTATGCACGATTTTCCTTTACTTCCAACTTATATGTTGTTGTGATACCCGTTCTACTTCACTGTTCCACGAATCACCGTTCACTATTTTTTTTTCCCCATACACGCATGTACACAAAGCCTCGTGCACTGGCTCACACGTGGTCTCCTGTTTATTCTCTGGATAAATGAGAGGGAAGAATGGAAGTAACTGCAAAGGGCCTATTGGCCCATACTTCCTCTTGATGCTTCTATACTGGTCTCCGTACCAATATAGAAGCATCAAGAGGAAGTATGGGCCATGCAATAGGCCCTTTGCAGTTACTTCCATTCTTCCCTCTCATTTATGCAATTAATACCTATTGTTCCGTGTTCTGTCTTGTGTTGGTCAAAAGTTTGTTCACCTCATCCAAAACTGTTGCAACATATCACCTCACCCAAATGCGAGTATATAAGACAAGCTGTTTAGCGTTAGAATAAGTAAAACTCTGTTTTACTTGTGTTTTCAGGTTACAGTTGTGTGTGTAAACTAAAGTCTTTGAAAATGTAATAAGTTATTACGAAACGCGTTCAAGCGTCTCGTCAGACTAGAAATAAAAATTAATTTTGGAGAATTGATTTTTCAATTACCATCGACAGTAAAAAGAAACATAAGAAATATTGAGAAAATTCGTGTTAGAATTATTAATTTTACTTTTTCGGTCATATTTAACAACACATGTTTACAAGAAAGACTGCTACCAAAATATATAATTAGATATATAGTATATATATTACATATATATATATATATATATATATATATATATATATATATATATATATATATATATATATATATATATATATATATATATATATATATATATTTTATATATATATATGTGTGTATATCACGAAAATAAACACGTGATTAAGAATGTGACAATGTCAGACCACGGAGGAAAATGAAACAGGAATTTCCTTAAGTACTTTCGTATATTAAAGATGTATTTTAGAAGATGTAAGACCTTCTGAAGATGTATTTAATATACGAAAGTACTTAAGGAAATTCCTGTTTCATTTTCCTCCGTGGTCTGACATTGCCATATATATATATATATATATATATATATATATATATATATATATATATATATATATATATATATATATATATATATATATATATATATATATATATATATATATATATATTTTGTTACGATAATCTCCTTCCAGAGAGATTTGACCTGCTCTTTCCTATCGCCATGTTACTTCAGTACATCTACAACATTTAGATACTACAAGCAAGTGTAGTACATATTTAGTTAACTACGTTTTGCCAGGCACAAACGTATCACACTCGCTCTCCACCCTCCCTCGTCGCCGATCACCAAACTAGCATTTCCAGCCTGCCCGCTTCTGATTGGCGAATCTACGTCTGCACCATTGCACTTTTGCACTTCAGCGCCATCTACCTAGTCGATGTCTGGGGCCTGTACCAGCCATTGGAGTTAGAATATTCTGTGCTCTCAAGCTGAAACAACCATCTGATATACGCTCTGTCTATTAGTCGACAGCTTCACATACTTCACAGATGGCTCAGTAGACCAACAGGGACAAGAAACCAGAGCTACAGTTAAAGCAGGAAACTCTGTAAATAGTTGGAGGCTCTCAAATGGGTGTTCGACTTTACAGAGATGCTAGCCATTCAAAAGGCTTTGAAACATGCTCTTGCTCAACACCAACATGTTATCATACATACAGATTCGAAAACCGCCATTGAAACCTTGCAACAAGAAGACATATGTGATAACATACATCTGATCACAAATGTCATATCATTAATGCAAACACTCAAACGACAAGGCCGACGGGTACTTATCAACTGGGTGCCAAGTCATGTGGGAATAATAGGAAATGACATTGCAGACGAAGCTGCAAAACTTGCAACTAAGAGAAGAAATGTAGACATTTACATACCACAGTCTATCACAGATTAAGAAAGTAATTAGAAACAGAGCAATGCAAAAGATGTACAGTAACCACAACACAGCAGTTGCAACATCAGGATCTGCGGGTTGGTACAAGAATTCAACCAACTACGAACCACTTAGTTTGATGAAAGGGAGCAGTAGAGCAACAGAAGTGCACTTACATCGCATCAGGCTTGGATACCCATGGCTTACAGGTTACATGAGGAAATAAGCTTACAGGTTCCGGAAGATGAGAGGAAATGTCAACACTCTGGAGAAATGCCCGACAGACTACTGGAACATTATCTAACACAGTGCACAGTTACAAACCCATTAAGATTTCAACAGAGCAGAAGAAGTTGTTAAACACATATGGCAAAATCTTACTGAAGCGGCTCACGTAAAACAGAAACAACACTTAGTGAGCCAGCCAGAGGCTTAGTGCCCGCGCAGGAATATCCCTGCCAAAAAAAAAAGTTGATGTTCTCAGCCAGCGCTTTATTCTCAGCACCTGTTAATTTCATATTGTCTTTATCCATTTTAGAGTAATGTCACCATCATAATGTTTTATGTTATTTTTTGAATCTTGTGAGTTTGCACTGTACATAGCCAAGGAATTGTCTTATTCTTAATTCGTTTTAAATTTAATTAAAGTTTCATTGTTCATACTGTTTTGCTTGTTTTGCCTTACTTTGCCACAGGACACAACAGCTACGCAGTCATTTTTTTTCTTAAATGTGATAGGCATTGACACCAGCCATTGGGAGGACTGCCGAACACCTACACTTCTTTTTTCCATCACACACTATATATATATATATATATATATATATATATATATATATATATATATATATATATATATACATTTATTTAGGTTTTTGAAACCCGTATAGAGGGGGGAGGGCAGTGACTTAATATCTAACATTCAAAGATTTACGTAAGGGGGCTGTGCTGTCTGGGGCCAGAGTTTGTTATTGTTCTAATGACAGATTTTTGTTAAGGTGCAAACCCATCATGTGCCTCTGTAACCTTTTCCGAAAGATATTTGTTTGCCAATATCCTGCCCTAGGGCATGAGTGATGGATGTCTGTGAGGAATATATACTTCTTCTAAACATCATCTCGTACATAATAACCTGCTGGAATAATTATTTCAAAATGTTATCCCTGAGCAAGAGTAAGCGAGGGTCCGCGCGCTAAAACTACATTATGATTGGCTGAGGGCCAGCCGCTCCACCAATCATAGGCCACTCGCTCATGCTCTTGAAGTAAACGGAGTGGTGGCTTGTGAACGAAAACATTGGACGTCAATAATGGGGTTTTCCTCAAATTTTGGGTAAATCTCTCAAGTTTACTATGCCTTTCATCGGTTATTTAGAGGGAGTTGTGATTGTTAGCAAATCACGGCCAGAAGCTACCGGTTGTTAGAGGGTAATAGAGGAAGTTTGTGAGGATGGACCTTGCGATGACTTCCACCACCAGGCAGGTCTCAGCTAGTCCTTGGTAGGAGTTAGATTTGTGCTTGTATGTGTTGTGTGGTGTTGAGAGAACAGGTGGCAGGGTTGTGTGTGGCGAGGAGGCCATGGAGGATGTGTGTGGCCCAGGCAGGCGATGGTCACATGGTAGAGACAGCTCATTCCTCTGACGCTATACTCTGTATTAACAATATTGACAGTGGTGATGGTCATGTCTCATAAGCTAGCACGAGTATTGGCGTTCAGGACAAAATTGTGTGTTTGTTACTGTCAAACTGTGCTTGGTGGCTGTGTGGGGTGTGTCCGTAGACAGGTATCCATCTCTGGATGTGCCCATAGATGGGTATCCATATCAGACTGTCTTGTAGCAAAATGTTGATTTTGAGTAAAGCTGAAGACAAATTTGCTGAAAATTCATTTTGTAATAGTAGGACCATGAATAATCTTTTGAGAATCTTGAACTGTAACTTTTGGTTGGTCTCGAGGCAAGTTGCTCTATTTCTAACTCATCATAATCTAACCTGAACTAACTTATTCAGCACTCGGCCACTAGCTGAAATTATATCATAATAATACAAATAACCTGGACTAACCTACTCTAGAAAAGTGTCTTGCTCTAAGTGAAGGGCTGAAAAGGATACAGGCTACTGTATTTTATACCCATAACAAATTGCCAACAGATTTTAAGATCTACCCAACCCAACATAGCACCCAGCCTAACAGCATAACGTGACCCTGCCTGACATAACTATATATCCAAATTGGGCACATTTCCTTTCACCTAATGCTGCTGTTCACCTAACATTGAGTAAGTACTCAGGAGTTAGGATGCAATCCCACAAGCTGACTAAGCAGGGTCAGTAATTCAGCCTTTGGACCTCGATAAAAGCCAAACGTGTATGAATACACTGGCTTCTGTTCCCCGATACACACCGAATTAACCCTTGTGTTGCTCAGGGCGATGAATGAAGCTTAAAATTTTTCCAGTCAGTTTGGATATCAATTTGCTAGCAGTCATGATCAGTGCACAAAGAAGATGGAGAATCATAGTTTGATTTTTTTGATATCGCACCAAGGTATGTCATTTTCAGAGTCCTCTGGCTGCACTAGGCATTCAGATCCCAACCTAAATAAAAGTTACTCTTGTACACAAAAATCTGCTCTATCCAATGCTGTCATTCAAAAACCAAACTGGGATGACGCATATTGAGATATTTTGCCTTGAAAGTTAGCTAGTTTTGCACAAAATTTATTTTTGGCCAACTTTCAAGTGGGCCACCTCTGGACATATGGGTACAACAGAGTTGCTATTGCATCACTGCATAATATTGTGCTTGTTATACATCGTTGCAAAAGATCATGGTGTTTAGACCTTTTGGTGATGCATAAGTGGTCTCCAAATTGGGGTCCAAATTTCTCACGACAAAATTTGGCAGTAATTTTAGCATGGATTGGTAGCTGAATGGCTACCCAAACTACTTTATTACACTGCTGTATTCCGCACCAAAAGTTGTCCTGGTATGCCAAATTTCACACCTCTCTACGCACTAGACGTGTTTTCATAAAGGATCAAAGTGGACCCTTTTTACAATATGTACGCATTAACCCTGGTCGAGGAGGCCTGGTCGAGGACCGGGCCGCGGGGACACTAAAAGCCCCGAAATCATCTCAAGATAACCCTTCCACTGCTCAGGGGTCCTGTGGACATTTACACCCCTGTGCGCAAGAAAAAAAAAATCAACATTTTTTTTCGTCTTCTACACATGTTAATGTGTGTCCCCTGAGCACGGGAAAAATAAAAATAAAATCGTAGGCAACATATTTTGGGCGCAATTGACTGAGGAAGTCTGGCAAAAGTGAGCGTTGACAGAGCGGTCGTCAGAGCCGGTCAGTGTCACCCGCGCTGACAGGTGGGAGTTGCCACAAAGATATTATCACTTAATTATTTCTATGTCTGATTGATTTTTTCTTAGTTTTTTTGCAATAATATTATTCAATAGTGTGTACTGTAATATATTTATATAATAAAAGTGGTGAATAATCACTATACAGTACTTAAAAGTATGGTGTGCATATTAGTGATTCAATTATGATGTTCATAAAACAAACAAATAGTTTTGCTGCTATTACACTCTATACTCAGGTTATATATAAGTATCTGCATATTTTGTTCACCATAACGAACCACTAAGTTGGTATTGAGAGTCAAAAAGCAACGAGGAGTTACCGCGACACACCAGCCAGCCACTCGCTGCCACTCCCTCAACACACGCACTAAACTTTCTCCCACAACAATACCATTTGTTGTGTTATTACACTATATACAGATGTTATATATAAGTATAAATTTTGTTCACCACAACTGTACAGCTAAGCTGATATAGTTAGTTCAGGCACTAAGAGTCGTCGCTATACACACAGTCAGCTGGCGGCTGCCCCACTCATTCAAGGTCACACGCACTAAACTTTCTCCCCCTAACAATACTGTTTGCAGTGTTATTACACTATATACACATGTTATATATAAGTATCTACATGTTGTATGCACCGTAACTGTACACCTAAGCTTGTAGTGCGCCCAAAGAGCATAGTGGCCACCCTCTAAACAGTTAGACAAATCATGCAGACGATGTCACCTCCGTCATCCAAATGGCTCCTCCCAGCATAATCCTTTTGCTGTTATTACACTAATGCACACATTATATATAAGTATCTATATTTGTGTTCACCATAGAGAACCACTGAGCTGGTATGGTGAATGCAAACAATAACAGGTGGCCACACAGTCAGTAAACGATGTCATCTCCCTCCGTCTCTCGGCATCACTCCTCCCACAGTGCTAATTATTACAACAATCCTGCTATTATCACAACCCTGGTTATTTATATCAGTCAGGGGTCATCTATAATATTGTCATCGCTAAATAATAATTATATTTATTTTGACATTTTTCGGCGATGCTGTGGTCACAAGCTGAACAGCAATGCTGTTCGCTCATGCTGCGTGCGCCAACCTTGGTTGCTCCAACAGTACTATGCCTCTCACACCTGTGAATATTGCCCACGATTTTTTTTTTAAAATGGAGTCTGTTTACACGAGCCCTGAGGAAGCTACTGTGAACCCCGTGTAGCCGCGGGCCATTTGAATTGGCCCTGGCACCCTTGGGCGTATATATACACCATGTGTACGGTGGGACATGTTACTCAGAGCGTATATATACGCCATGCGCAGTTTAAGGGTTAACGGGATGAGAGCCCATTGAACGTGGACCTATTATTTAAGAACCAAAGAAGATTGAGCTCTAATATTTTGCACAATTTCATTTGGGGTTTAGGGCTACTTTATTACAAAATTTCATTAGATTTAGAAAGGGTCGAGTGGGAGGCCTTTGGTGAATTCACACGGAATGACCCTTCATTGTACACGGGATAACTCGTATGTAAAAAAATGTGATGATACTTCCTCTAAATAAATACTATATTCTATATTTTGTTTTTTCTGAGTTGGATTTTGAGATTTGGCAATTCGGTATTTAGCAATTTTTGGTTACATTATATAACCAGTCTCCGTGGTGTAGTGGTAAGACACTCGCCTGGCGTTCCGCGAGCGCTTTGTCATGGGTTCGTATCCTGGCCGGGGAGGATTTACTGGACGCAAATCCTTAACTGTAGCCTCTAACTCAACAGTAAAATGGGTACTTGGTTGTAAAAACGATTCTTCGCGGCAGGGATCGTATTCCAGGGACCTGCCTGAAACGCTAAGTGTACTAGTGGCTGTACAAGAATGTAACAACTCGTGTATCTATATATATATATATATATATATATATATATATATATATGTCGTACCTAGTAGCCAGAACTCACTTCTCAGCCTACTATTCAAGGCCCGATTTGCCTAATAAGCCAAGTTTTCCTGAATTAATATATTTACTATAATTTTTTTCTTATGAAATGATAAAGCAACCCTTTTCTCTATGTATGAGGTCATTTTTTTTTATTGGAGTTAAAATTAACCTAGATATATGACCGAACCTAACCAACCCTACCTAACCTAACCTAACCTATATTTATAGGTAAGGTTAGGTTAGGTAGCCAAAAAAGCTAGGTTAGGTTAGGTTAGGTAGGTTAGGTAGACGAAAAAACATTAATTCATGAAAACTTGGCTTATTAGGCAAATCGGGCCTTGAATAGTAGGCTGAGAAGTGCGTTCTGGCTATTAGGTACGACATATATATATATATATATATATATATATATATATATATATATATATAAAAACATTTAGTTTTATTGTATCAAATGATAGAATATGGCATATCTCTGCACAAAATTAAGAATAAATAGTGTTAAGATATGAAAGTGATTTACTTATATATTAAGATAATTAAAATATGGTTAATCTTATAAGTTTAGTAACTTGATGGAGATCAATCACATAGCAAGCAACAGTACAGTATCTGGTGTACAGTGTATGGTGGCCACTGTGCTGTTTGGACACAGTTCCAGCTTAGTTGTATAGTTATGGTGAATAAAACATGTAGATACTTATACATAACATGTGTGTGTAAATAGTGTAATAAAAACAACAGTACAGTATGGTGGGAATGTTGGCAAGTAAGGTGTTGGAGGAGTGAGGGAGGGCTGGCTGGGTGTGGCAGCTCACTCTTGTTTTTGGGCTCACTATACCAATTTAGTGGTTCGTTATGGTCAACACACATGTAGATCGTTATATGCAATGTGTATGTGTGTATAGTGTAATAACAGCAAAAACACTATTTGATTGAGAGTAGAATATAATATATGTCACGTATATTAAGCCCATAACTTTGAGCATAGTGATGTTCCACACTTTGAACTATATAAATTCCACAAATTACACACTTTTGAATAATATTACAGCAAAAAATCGGAAGAAACAAATGAGAAATCAAAATATTTGTGGAACATTATATTCGCGGCAACTGCCGCCCCCACGGGGGTGGCTGGGCCGACTGACCTTGAGCGTTCCATTGTTCAGTGCCCATAATTTGCTCAACTTTCCAGCTCTATCACAGCTAAAGTATGTCACATACAATATTTTTTTTTAGTTTTCCGTGATCAAAGACTGCATTTTAACGATATAAGAAGAAAAATAATTTTTTGGAAAGAATTTATTTTCGTTGCACCATGGGTGTGTTATATTTTAATGCAGAGCAGTTCAGTGGTTAATAATTAACTATTATATATTATTAATGCAGTGTGTCTATTTATGCATTTGAAGCACAAGATGCAGTACATCAATTAGTATATTTACCTCGGTGTCCCATTTTCAAATATCAGCTAAGAAATAAGGGCTGAATTAGTAATAATAATAATAATATAATAACAATAGTTTATTTAGGTAAAAGTATATTCAAAGAAAATGAGTTACAAACAAAATGTTGGATTTTTAGATAGAGCTATATGTCTGTCTGTCTGTCCACGACTGTTCAACACCCTACTAATAAGAATTAAAAATATTGCTGGGCTGGAATGAAGGTGGATATATTTAAGAGGCACTTGGACAGGTTCTTGCAAGAAGTGCCGGACCAACCAGATAGTGGATATGTGGGCCTGCAGGCTGCTCCAAGCAACAGCCTGTTGGACCAAGTTATCACAAGTTGAGGCTAGCCCCAGGCCAGGCTCGGGTAGTAGAAAAACTCCCCAAAACCCTCTCCAGGTAAGCTAGTATATATTATGCCTAAAGCCACTAATACACACGATGTTTAGTGAGTGTTCACTATGTATATGTCATACATAATGTATATCTTTACAGTTTTTGGTGGTGAGAGGAGTAGAGAGCAGAGCCAAAATGGATGTAGATGTTAGTGGAGCCAGCGTTTCTGACAGTGAAGGATGCGGTAGTAGCTCAGCCTCCAGCCACGTGAGTGGGCAGGGTGGAGTTGGAGGAGGAAGCAAACTCAAGAGATCTAGTAGTGCTCCTATGATTAACCAACTAGTGCCACAAGGTCCCACTTCAGCTCCTCCAGTGTCATCAGCTTCTAGGTAACATATGTTTTTGCTTTTAGATTAATGTTATCATTGTCATTCATAGTACTGAATATTGTGCTGAATTTCCTGGGGAAACCCTAGTGGCTCCCTGAAGCTGTCTTGCTGAGATTGCCCCATACGAAAAGGTCACTTCAATCGCAGAAATTCTGTTTGGCCCAGTTGACTAGCCCAGTAACCAGGAGGCCTGGTCGAGGACCGGGCCACGGGGACGTTGAACCCCGAAATCATCGCAAGGTAACCGCAAGGTAAGGTAACCTGTCTCGGACATAGTTTAGTTCATTTATTATGCACCCCATATCCATCCTGTGGGGGGGGGGGGATAGGGTTAGAGGCACATAATGGGTTCAGGTATTGAACCCCAATGTTTATTTAACTAAGTAAGTTACAGGCGATGAGTCACAATAACGTGGCTAAAGTATGTTGACCAAACCACACACTAGAGGGTGAAGGGACGACGACGTTTCGGTCCGTCCTGGACCATTCTCAAGTCGATTGTTACAATCGACTTGAGAATGGTCCAGGACGGACCGAAACGTCGTCGTCCCTTCACCCTCTAGTGTGCGGTTTGGTCAACTAAGTTACAGTCTTGATGAGCTGGTTACAAAATTCAATGCACATCGTCACTACCCCCCCGTGGATGGGGGTTTTCCTTATCTGCCATCAACTGGGGTTAGGCACCCATAAGGATAGGCATAACAAAACAAACCCCACATGGAAAGAAACTAAAACAAAACAACGAACAGAGATATAGAACTTACAATCCAGAGGAAACAAGCAAACGTCACACTCTACTGCCGCGCCGCTCGTCCGCACAGCCCTCCCCTCTCCGAGAGGGGGAATGGGGACACCCCAGACCTCACCATGCCGGGCTGCCTAGCACTCCAGTTCGTAAGCTAATGTCAACCGGGACAGGCCGCTTCAAGTGTTAATATCTCGGACGCCTTGTGTGAGACATACCATAGAGAAAACTGAAAGAAAGTAATGGCCTCATTGACATTTATTGCAACACTTGCAATGATAAACTTAGGAAACAGCAGAAACAACTAAAAGATAAAGCAAATGAGGAGAATAAAGATTAATTAGTTGAAGAGGTTGGGACCAGGGAAGCGTCAAGTGTTGTGAAAAATGATGGATCTTTACATGATATAGTTGAGGAAGTAATCAATGAGCATAGAGATGCAATACTAAAGGAACTGATTGAAGGCCACAAAGAGATGAAGGAGTTGCAGGAGGAACAAAAGGTTTTCATGAAAGAAGTTATAGACCTTAAAAAACAGATGATACACGTAAGGACAGGCTCCTTGGCCAACCAGACGGCTCTGGAGGGTAATCAGACACTGGTAGGGGGGGAAGAGAACTTGGCAAATGCAGGCAGATAAAGAGGCAGGTGCTCAAGAGAGGGATGCAAAAACCATGGATAGGCATAGATGAAAATACAACCTCTTTATAAGAAACCTTGCAAAAAAAATAGGACAAGAATGACAAGGAATTCATTTGAAGCAATGTTACAGAAATTGATAGGCAAGGTGGAAATACGGTGGTAACTTCGTTTACGAATTTAATCCGTTCTCAGAGATGGTTCACAAACCGAAACAAATTTTCCCGTAAGAAATAATGTAAATTTAATTAATCCATTCCACAAACACACACACACTCAAAAATATTAACTTTAAAATACAATTTATACAGAAACTCATAATTTTTTATAAAATTCATATTTTTTATACACAAAACAATCAGGTTTAAATATAAACCTTAAATAAAATAAGTGAACATTTAACTGCACTTTACCTTTACTGAGGACCTGTTGGCGTATGGGAGACGGTGAGGAGGGAGGGAAGAGCGTTGTTCCTGGGGAACACCCCTCGGGAAATGCATCCAGAAAGTCAGCAAGCTTTACAGACACCTGGAGGGTTCATACAGTAAGGGCCTTGAAACTGCCAAACAACTCCACAGATGATTTCACAGAACAAGGAATTCACTCAAACTAGTTTGAAACATGTTAGTACCAATCACCACCATCAGGCAGCCCTCAGGTGGTTCCCATGACCAGTCAGTTCTGTTGCTGATATTATAGTGGCAGCTGCTACCTGTCATGCTCTGGTCTGCCAGTCATGAGCAAGCCTTGCTGCCTCAAGCTATGTGCTGGCCATCCTTGGGCACTGTCCTGCAGGGGCTGTTTGCTTTTTCTTTATTTTAGTGCCAGCTTCACGTGTGTGTTCTGTCTAGCTTGTTGTGTAGGCATGACTCGTGTTGTATCTCAGGCTTCATGCACTCAAGATTTTCATCCCTAGGTGCCTGCTAATGCTGCCCCTTGCACATAGATATCTTCTCTAGTGTGTTTGGGAGTTTGCCTCCGAGAACTCAGTTCACTGGGGTACAGAGCCTCGCCTTGGGCTAGTCATAAATCTTTGATTCCTCTGCTTGAGTCCTTGAATGGGGACATTCTTTTGGTTTTGCTGGGGCACACTAGGGTTCTTGTGCTTATTTATATAGTGTGCCATGGTCACCATTCATAGCATGGTTGTTTTGGCTGTATTTGATGACTATTCTTCTGGCCAGCAGCCTCGGTGCCTGGGGTTTTCTGCATGGTTAGCAGCCTTCAGGCTCTGGTGGTTCTATCACGAGTCTATGGCATGGTCCATTATGGATTGGTCTATTGAGTCCACGCTTGTTGAGTGTAAGCTTGAAGGGTGTTCATCATCTTAGAAAATGATGTTCCTCATCTTCTAAGATGATCATTCTTTCTGCCTCTGCCATGCTGCCAGCTGGGTTGGTAACATTTGACCCCGAGTCCTGTGAGAAGTGTTCTCACTAGGGTCTTTGCTCTTACTGATGTTGCTTTTAGGTTAGAAGCTTTTCAGGTAGCTGCTGCTTTGTAAGTTTGATTTACTTGGATTAGGTGTTTACTTCATATTGATCATCTGGATGCCTTGGAGTTATTCGCCTGTGTTATTTAGGGACTTGGAATTAGAGGTGTTTGTGACCTTCGCCTAGACTTAAGTTCACACCACCTTGTCCTTCCCTTGCAGGTATGGTTTGCCTGTTTCTGGTCTTCCCTCCTGGCTCCGGCCCCAAAGTGCCTGAGAGTTTTAGACTCAGGTTGGGGTTTAGCTTGGATTGTAGCTTGGCCTTCTCTGGGGGTGGTCCCACTGGGGTTTTGGGGCATTTGCCTTTATAACTGCCCCCCTGCCCCAATTCTCCTTGGGAGGGTGCCTTTCTGTTGCAGGTGCCAGAACAAACATGGGTGTCTTCAAGAGAAAACGGGATAGTTTTCTTCAAGAAGTGCAGAACCAACTGGGCTCTGAAGGATATGTGGGCCTGTGGACCGCTCCAAGCAACAGCCTGTTGGACCAAGCTCTCACAAGTCAAGCCTGGTCCTTGGCTGGACTTCTGGAGTAGAAGAGCTCTCAGAACCCTATCCAGGTACAATCCAGGTACAGACTGACTGCCCCAGAGTCTTCATGACAGACTTCTGGAGAGGCAGAGGAGGGGCCTTGGGTGCCCTTTAATCCTTTGTGGACATTTGTCCTTTCTTTAGAGGATCTTTTTCCTCAGGGGAAGAATTCTCTTATCCCACTGTGTTCTGCGTTCCCACTGTGTTCTATGTTCTCGGGTTCGATTCCGAGTCCTGTTCAATGCCTTGGAGTCACCTTATTGCCGGAGGTTTCTGTTTTGACATGTTGCTCCTTCGGTAGTTGCCACAAATTTGTTTCAGCACCACCTGTGAATTTTGGACCACTTTTTTTTTCTCTCTCTCTGATGGATCTGGCTTCTTTTGAGTACATGTCTACTAGGCTTACTGGCTGTGGTGTGAGGTCTCAGGTTCATCCTGGCTGATTGACAAAACTCTCTTTTCCTTGGGAAGGTTGGCAGGGGTTCTGTTAGACCTATGCACATTACTCCCCCACCAGACCAGTGCCACCCCACCCCCAACCAGACCAATGCTGCCACCCCCCCCCCCCCCCCACACCAGACCAATGCCATCCCCCATCAGACCAACACCTTCCCCCACCAGACCAACACCTTCCCCCACCAGACCAATGCCATCGCATTGTCTCGAGGTGAATTCTGTCTTTCAGATGTTCCTGGGCAGCACTTCTTTTGCTCTGCTCTAGAACTGCCTGTTTGCCCTGGCGCTCCACAAGGATGTGGGCAAGGGACGGGAAGGGTATTGAACTATCAGGGGAAAGCACTAAGCCATTACGACTATATTTCACTGGAATGGGGTCAGGATAGTGATTTGGTATGGGACGGGTGGAAGGAATGGTGCCCAACCACTTGGACGGTCAGGGATTGAGTGCCGACCTGCATGAAGCGAGTCCGTCGCTCTACCGTTCAGCCCAAGTGGTTGGGAAGGATGTGGGCAACTGGCAGCCCCATTTGCAGTTGCATGTGCTGTTTGGGGCCCTTGTTGCAGAGGACCACAAGACATGCTCGGACTTGGCGGAAGTCTTGCATGTTTGGGTCCTCGTAGCGGGGCTTTCTGATGCAATGTCCATGAGGACGTGGCATCTCTACATTCTGCTCTGGGTGTGAAAGCCTTGATGGCCTTACATATGGTTAGATCATTTTAGCCCATTCATTTAATTTAACCTGATCTCTTACCCATTTGGTCTGCCTCCCTCTCTTCACCTCTTTTCTTTCCTGAGGATGACAGTGCACAGGTTTTGTTTGCAACAGCTTTCTCTTGTTGCCCCATTGATCATTTATTGTTTTCTTAGGGTTCTATTCCTGATTAGAGGCTCTCTGATAGGGTGGGGACCTCACCTGATGTGGGTCAAGGTAGGTTCCTTCTCTGCTGAACATTGCCATTACATGTTGCATAAAGATGCTTCCGCTTGTGTTTCGTGCCAGCCCTTTGATGGTTTGCCCCTTTGACATTACTGTGGAGGGGGTGACTGGTACATTTTGCCAGCTCCTGGTCCCGTGACTTGTATGCTTTTTGGATCATTCCCTCGGCCGACAGTGAGTTGGTCGGTCCCTCCCCCATTCATTTGGTTGAGTCTTGCAAGTCAAGGGGGGTCCTTCCCCAGCACTGCATTGGGTCATTGCAGGTTGGTTGGACTTTAGTGTAGTCAAGGTAATCTCGATCTGTCAGTGGGTGTCCTGTTCCAAAGTTCTGGTTGTTCCCAGTCCCAGAGGGGGACTGGGCAGACCTACGATACGTCTTCAATTTTTTGGGATTGAACAGCATCATTCCTGTTGGACTTTCTGGGTGACCACTTTGGGCAAGTTCATCTGCTACTACAGGCTGAGCCTGGATGGTGTCCTTGGACCTCAAGGTTGCTTATTGACATGCTCCTAACCATCCAAGGTTCAAGGACTGGCTAGGTTTTGTTGTGGGGTGTCAGGCTTACTGCTTTAGGGACCTTCCCTTTGTCTTGTATCTGTCCCCCCATGCGTTTATCAGGTTAGCGCGGGTCATTGTGGCCTGGCTTCATCTCTTAGGGGTGTGTGTGTTGGCCTACCTCAATGACTGGCTGGTGTGGAGTCCCCCAGCCAGTCTGCATGTCAGCTGGCCAGGGTTCTTTTTTTTTTCTTTTCGACTCTTCAGGTTCCTAGTGAAACCGAAAAGTTCACAAAAATCAAGTCTTAGTTGATTCCATTCCTGGTTCAAACTTGGCTGGGCCTTGTTTGGGACTCTTAGTTGGCTTGTGTGTGTGTATCTCTAGTGGCTTTGCACTACCTGCAGTTTTATTGCCGTCAGATGTTTGATTGGCCCCAAGTGACTTGCCAATTGGTTGAGCAAATGGAACAAATGTTTTGTTTCAGAAATTTCTTCTGTTTAATCTCATAACCTTTATCAGCATGTCTAAAACTACCTCTGATGAAATTTTAAAGTAAAATAAAATTTTGAAGGAAAAGTAGAATTTGGCATTTTAAAACTAAATAAAAACAGGGTTGTTGGAAGGTGTTGGAAACTGAACTAGACTGTACCAAGAGTCAAGGCAACAAAATCAGGGGAAATATTTAAAAAAGTGTTTATTTCATAAATACTCTTTTTGATACTGCAACCTAACTGTTAAGTTTATTTGGAATTAGTAAATGTTTTTTCTCGTTTGTAATTTTTCAGGGATGCTGCTGCATTGGGGGATGTTCCAGGAAGTCAACCTCGGGTACGCCGTTTCAGTGCTTCTTTTGGCCCAGTGTCCCCTCTGGTACGTGATTGTATTCATAAGTTATTTTAAATAGCTGCATAAAATTCATTCATTTGTTTCATCAACATTACTTTTTCTTTGCCACTTTTTACTAATATACCGAGCTCTAATTTTGTGTATAATTTTGTAGCTTCTTTGTTCCCCCTTGTCCCTTGTCTTCCTTTTAGTGAGATAAGGGACAAATCTTAACATTTTGTTAACACTTATTTCAAAATGTTAATAAACCCAAAATTTATTAATATTTTGTAGACTACACTCAATGACAAATATTTTTCAGCCAATAAAAGATACTGGTTTACATGTTTGAAAGCAAAATGAAAGTCTTATGTTAAATATAAAAAAGGACATTTGAAGTTCTAATGAATGACTTTAATTCTGTAACTCTTTACCCTGACATTATCTTCCAGCATACTAGCAAATCTCACTGTTGGGGAAACCTTGAATACAGACATACGGGCATTAAGCTGGGAGCAGAATATCTTTTGAGGATGAGATGCATTTCCTTGGGCTGATCTTTGACAGGAGACTCACGTGGGTCTTTAATCTTGGGTTGTTAAGACTGCACTTACACATTCCTTAAATCTTTAGAGAGCATTAGCTGTGAGAGCTGAAGTATGGGGTGTGAAGTATGTTCCTCTGCTACTCTAGCTAGGTTGAGAACCATAGATTCCATCCTTAACTGTGCTGGCATTTGTCTGATAACCTATGATTTCCAGACATTAATCTATAGCAGATTGGTGGATGCAGGGGAGTTGTCTGTGGCTTTGTGATGTCATATCATTGTTGGCATGGTGATGGTATCATATCCAAAGGATACAAAGTTTTCTAATTTTTGCCTAGTCTTAGGTAATACACTCCTTCACTCAGGTTTCTCAGTTATCCCAGTACTCCTTGGGTTTTTTCCTAAGATAGTTTCCTGCAGTTACTTTATTAGTTCGAAGGGCAAAACTACCAATGATGATTTATTGTTGTAATTTTTAAAATGCTCTTTCCTCTATGAAGGCTCTGCTCCTGTATATACTTTTGGCTCTTATGTCTGGTGCTAGCTTTGAATTTGGAGCTATCTTTCCTGGCTATTGCCTCTGTTATAATTTCTGTCACAGCATCCAGTTTTACTGCTAGAAGATTAGTTTTATGTAAGGAGCCCCGTTGGCTTCCTGAAGCTATCCGAACTGATATAGTGCTATATCAGTTGAGGGTTATCAGTCACAGTTCTTATGCCTACTGGGGACCACGAGCCAGAATAGGGCCCACTCAGAGAGGAGCAGGGAGCAGTGGCCTATGAGCACTTTACATTTAAAGTATGACATATTTGTCATCGACCGGGGAAGAACTCCAGAAAAATAGGCGAATCAAAACAGACCACTGTCTGGTTGAAAATTGAGGACCACTGTATGTTGTCCTCAAAATAGCAAAAGAACTCCCCTAGAAAGAAAACCAACAAGCAACATTTCATCAATTCCCCCCCCCCCCCCCCCCTCAATAGCACAACCCCCACCCCTCCATGGGGGAAGGGGAAGTCGACCCGGGTGAGCTGGCAACCCACCACCTCAGTTCTTGAACTGATGTGTTAGCAGTCGGATGTCGCTACTGGCCTCGGTTTCCTATTCTGGATTTTTGCCTTCTGTGGCTGTTCCTGCACTTGTGTTGTGTGTTGGTCAGGTGTATTAGTGTACTGAAGCTGTACGTGCCTAGGGACACATTCCCAAGGTGCTCCATAAGTACTGCCCTTGAATTTCAGGGTTATCTTCCCTGGGACGTTCGGGACTCGCTCCCCATTGAGGACCTCCTTGCTTGTGGTTGTCTTTGTCCTTGGGGTGCATTAGGGGGGTTTTAGGGCTTTCTATCTTGCTCTGTGTAGGCATGAGTTTTCAGCTGGTTGGAGTGCATTGTGGCGAGTGCTATCTGCTATACGCTATCAAACAGTGAGCAGACTTCTCACTGGCTGCTAGTTTGCTAGTTGTGGGGTTTCAAGGGTCTTTGTGTTTTTCTCGTTACTGGCTTTACTGTGGAAAGCCCCATCGGCTTCCTGGAGCTATCAGATTGATATTAGTTATATTAGTCTGGGGCTTCAGTCAATTGGATTTCTGCCTACCGGGGACCACGAGCCAGAACCTGGCCCCCCCTCAGAGAGGCGCAGGGAGCAATGGCCTAAGGAAACCCCAATGTGTTTGGGAGTATTCCATGTCTGCCATCGACCAGGGTTTTAGGCACCCAGAAAGATAGACGTCCCAAAACAAACCCCACATGGTAGGAAATTGCAAACCCAAGACTGAACAGAGAACCAGAACTTCCCCCAAAAGAAACAAGGAAACCAGCAAACGTCATCAGCCCACCGTGCTACTTGTCTACATCTCCCCTCGCACCCCCCAGGAGGAGGAGGGGACTCCCACTCCGGCAGCCCTTTTCCCAGTTCGTAGACTGAAGCTGACTTGGGCGGTTGTCGACTCTGGCCTCGGTTTCCCTCTCAACTGTTACTACTATTTATTTTTTATTTTTTTCACACACAACCCCCAGGGATCAGTCTGTAACAGCTGTCTAACTTCCAGGTACCTATTTACTGCTAGGTAATAGGGGCATCAGGGTGAAAGAAACTGCCCATTTTGTTTGCCTGGTCCGGGAATCGAACCCGGTCCACAGGATTACGAGTCCCGCGTGCTGTCCACTCAGCTACCAGATCCCTGGTAGTGTTGCCTGCTGATTGTGGTGCGGTAACCAAGTGAAGGTAATGTACTGGGGCTGCATGCGATTAGGGCTACCTTCCCTAAGTGCCCTGTAAGTACTATCCTTGGATTCTAGGTTTATCTTCCCAAGGGCCTTTGGGATCTCGCGCCTGTAAGGGGTTACTGCTGCTCGGCATTGACCCCACCCTTGGGGCCAGCTGGGGAGTCATGGCCTTTGTTTGCCTCTGGGTAGGGAGTGGTGGGTGTTTGCTGGTTGGGGCACAAGGTGCTGCGCAGCTCACCTACATAATGGCAACTGTGTTTTCTGTTCCTCTGTTGTTGTTGTGCTTTTGTGGAGTTTTTCTTTTCTTCTTGTTTTTCTGCTGGGGGGGGGGGGGGAGTCTGCCTAGGGTTTTTGTGTGGCCCTCCTCCAAGCCTACATGCTTGTACACTTCACAGGGGTTCAGTTCGCCCTCTTATCTTGGTGGTTGTTGGCGATTCCTATACGGGCTCAACCGGCTTTGCAGCCCCATTGTCTGGGATTCCCGAAGGGATGCGCCCCCTTGCGGTCCCTGGAATACCCTGTCAGAGCTTGGCTGACCAATGGACTTGTCGTTCAAGTTCCATCTCGCCTTGTGCGAGTTTGCAGGTTGTTCGTCGCCCTTGTCTCAGGGTGATGATCACTGGTTTTGCCTCCGTCATGCTGCTTGTTGGGTTGCTAACACCTTCGACCTGGAGTCATGTGGGTCTTACTCCCCACTTCTTCCCCACTAGGGTGCCTGGTAGCCGAGTGGACAGCACTCAGGACTCATAATCCTGGGGATCAGGGTTTAATGCCCGGCGATGATGGAAAACAAATGGGCAGCTTCTTTCACCCTGATGCCTCTGTTACCTAGCAGTAAATAGGTACCTCGGAGGTAGACAGTTGTTACGGGCTGCTTCCTGTTTGTGTGTGTGTAATTACTTAAGTGTAGTTACAGGATGAGAGCTACGCTCATGGTGTCCCATCTACCCAGCACTAAAATAACATTCATTTGGGCTCGAGCTGACGACTGTCCGGCCACCGGCGGTAGACCCTACTCTGAGGCCGTGACTATTCCTCCAATCCACACAAGTGTGTAATTACCTAACTGTAGTTACAGGATGAGAGTTACGCTCATGGTGTCCCATCTCCCCAGCACTCTTTGTCATATAACGCTTTGAAACTATTGACGGTCTTGGCCTCCACCACCTTCTCACCTAACTTGTTCCAACCGTCTACCACTCTGTTTGCGGAAGTGAATTTTCTTATTTTTTCGGCATCTGTGTTTAGCTAGTTTAAATCTATGTCTTGTTCTTGAAGTTCCAGGTCTCAGGAAATCTTCCCTATCGATTTTATCAATTCCTATTACTATTTTGTATGTAGTGATCATTTCACCTCTTTCTTTTAGTTTTGGCATATTTAATGCCTCTAACCTCTCCTCGTAGCTCTTGCATTTCAGTTCTGGGAGTCACTTAGTAGCATGTCTTTGCACCTTTTCCAGTTTGTTGATGTGCTTCTTAATATATGGGCACCACACAACCACTGCATATTCTAGCCTTGGCCTAACAAAAGTCGTGAACAATTTCTTTAGTATATCGCCATCCATGTATTTAAAAGCAATTCTGAAGTTAGAAAGTGTGGCATAGGCTCCTCGCACAACATTCTTTGTGGTCCTCAGGTGATAGTTTTCTATCTAGAACCACCCCTAGATCTCTTTCTTTATCAGAATTCTTTAAAGATTTCTCACATAATATATAGGTTGTGTGGGGTCTATGTTCTCCTATTCCACATTCCATAACATGGCATTTATTAACATTAAATTGCATTTGCCAAGTGGTGCTCCATATACTTATTTTGTCCAGGTCTTCTTGATGGGCATAACAATCATCTAGGTTTTTTATCCTTCCTATTATCTTAGCATCATCAGCAAACATGTTCATATAATTCTGTATACCAACTGGTAGATCATTTATGTAGACAGTAAACATCACTGGTGCAAGAACTGAACCCTGTGGTACTCCACTTGTGACATTTCTCCAGTCCGATACATTGCCTCTGATTATTGCCCTCATTTTTCTATCAGTCAAAAATTTTCATCCATGTTAGAAGCTTACCTGTCACCCCTCCAATATTTTCCAGTTTCTTATGTGGAACTCTGTTGAAAGCAGTTTTTAGGTCCAGATAGATGAAGTCAACCCAACCATCTCTTTCCTGTAAAATCTCTGTGGTTCGATCATAAAAAATGAGTAAATTCGATACACAGGATCTTCCAGAACAAAAACCATACTCTGTCTGATATTATATCATTTCTCCCT